TAATGCTAAAAAAAAAAATCTATTTTCAGCAACAATTTCTTTATCATATCAATAAATGAACTAACCTGTGCAAAAAGAACTTATGACCGAAATCTATCATTGGAATGTCATTTTTTGTTTTAATTCATCTGAAGTTCAAAGGTTAATTCCACTTACATAACAATTTTCAACATGGACGATATCTTGAATGGGCCATAAGATACTGCGTATTTGAATTGGTACCAATGAACTACGACAGGGAATGTGAGAGAAAAGTTGCATATATGATATCGTGGAATTTGCAATTGCATCATAAGGTATGCCGGGAGCAATCTAAATTTCTTGCAAACATCTCTCATCAACGATGGTATCATCATTGGGTATAATTATTCAAGCAAAGATCAAAGGTTAATCAATCAGATGATCCTCTCATATGTGATGCTTTAAGTGAAATATTTGTTACCGATAAATGACAAGCAATTTTACGACGTTTTTCGCCATCCTTTGTGTCGCAATTGCTGCATTCACTCCACGGAGTAGCGAATGCACTCGATTGTAATTTCAAATCTGCGAATTCGTACTGCATAGCTTTTATTTTACTCTTCACAGAACTATTTATTATCTAAAAACAAATCACATTATAGATGAATTGCAATAATGAATTAATTTAAGTAATAGAATTGATCGCAAGTTTCAAAATGCATGCCCTATGTGAAATGAATTTGAATCTAAACATAAAATCAATCAAATTCAATTCCAAAATTTAATTTTCACTAATAAATTATTTAGTAATTGATAAGCTAACAATTTCAGGCGTTGAATTAGTGATCACATCGATATAATATATGTTAGCTATATTCACCGTATTGTTTATACGTCTTATGCAACGATACCAACCCATGTCTTTTCGGCTTACTTTTGGTAGTACAAGCTCAAAATGATCACCAAGTTTGGGTTCACTTGCTTGACGCTTCATAAACCTAAGTTTATATGATAATCAAAACACAATTTAAATAACCTTAATTAAAATCTTATCAACAAAAAAAAAAAAATTTTCTTCAATTTTGGAGCAAAAATTTAAATTTTAACCTAATACTTCGTCAATTTCGAGGATTTTTTTTTTCAAAATAAGCTATACTAATTAAATTACTACATCAGCAGTATAATATTTCACGTGACTTTTAGATATATGCCTTTAGCACATATACCTTTAGCATAATTGTTAAATTATTACATATATCTATCCTATAAGCTATGGCGGTACACGGTCGTTATCAGTGCTGGTGATAGCCTAATACAAATTATACCAATGTGAGTAATTAATGGGACTACTTTTTGATAAGACTTATGGTTTTTTCGGCTACAGAAAGAGTGGGATCAATGTCAGCCATACTTCGCCACCAACCATTCATGCCTTCCTCAAAACTGGCCTTTTCCCAGTTATAATCCCACTCGTTCGTTCTCTGTCTTCCTTCACGCTCAACTTCTGATAAGATAAACTGTAAAAATAAATGGTTATTATAACAGTTTCTAACATTTCTCAGTCTTTTTGTTTTTCCATTTTGAATAAAAGTTTAAAATTAATTTATACAGAGGAAAAAAATTGAAGAAAAGTCTAAAAAATAATTTTTTTATACAGGAAGTAATATTTCTGTGATATTTTATGTTTATACCTCTTTTACTTTATCAATAATTTGGCGAATTTTTTTCCCAATAAATGATTCATTCGGCTTCCAAACTTCTTCTACTTCCGTTTGCTCTTCAGGACTTAAACTATAGTGCAAAAAAAAAAAATGTCATAATAATGGAGATGGAGCAGTGATCGTTATTTTGCAAATTTCTGAATTGATAAAAAAATAACCTTTGCTAAAAGTTATTCTGATAACTCATTTTCATCTTGTCTATTTTGGAGCTCTGAGTTAATTTGATGAGATGAAATTACGGTAATCAGCTTATGAAATTCAAAATTTAGAGTATATTAGCTTACTGTCCACAAACGTTTAGCACAGTGGTCAGCAAGTGGACAATTACCATCTGAAACATCGTAGTTCCAATTCAGCATCTCGTAATGCGACAATTGCTTGAATTGGTGTCACCTTTTGCTTGATATAATTCTCTCGTCCTTTCATGCATCGATAATAGCTATTCAATTTACGATTATAATCATTCTTTTGTTCTTCATTTAATTCTTTCTTTTCAATTCCGCTGTAAAATTAGGAGTGAAATGATAACGCACTGACTTAAAGTGATTATAAATATTAATGTTGATACTATGTAAATTTATTTATTAATTTTCAAAGAATTTATTAATAATTATGCAGATAATTATAAATAAATATCTTATGATTACCTCTTTGAAAGATTTATTTAATAGATTTATATTTTTATTTTTTACAATGTCTTTAAAAAAGTTAAATTTATTAGATATCTTAAATTCATGTCAATATCTTTAGTATAGTAAATTATTTCTTACTGCGATAAAATTGCAAATTCTCTAATAAGCCAATAACATCAACTTCCTTATCATATAATTTCTGACCTTTTGAAAACTGATAAACGATTATCAAATCATAAAAAAATTCAAAAAGTTTGTAGAATAATTTTATTTTTCTTATTCTTTTTTGTTAATCGAAACTTCTCAAATGTCGACAAACATCAAAACAAGCAGAAAAAACCCACTTTAAAACCAAAAAAAACCGTACTTATCATACAAAAATAATAATCTTTAATAGAAAAAAGTGAAGAAATAGAATGCACAAAAAAACGAAAGATAAAAGAAACAAAAACAAAAAATTGAAGAAAAAAATTCATAAAACTAAAAAGGTCATAAATACTAACTATCTTTTCTCACTATCTCAAATAAAAAAAAATACGAAAGATAAATCGCACTATCTTACGACAGCCTAAATTAAAAAATCAAGCTTAATTTTTATAAATAAATCGGTCTTATAGCCCAAATAACTAATAGCATTTGTAAAATTTTGCAACGAAATCATTTTAATTATAAAATGAGCATATCAAAATCGGAAAATATTTATATTAGCTATTGTTGAGCTTTATCTAATTGATAATTTCACCGTGAAAAGCAAAGGAAAACTGTGAAAACAACCGAATGATAAGCGATCTTCATTTCAAAATGAAAATATTTCATTCAACTTTTGCATATTAATCATTTTCAAATTCGAAATCAATTATCGTTCAATTACATTATATGCATATTGCCAAAATTAATTGCAAAGACTGAAACGAAGTTGGACGACAATATCATTTATTGTTGGATAAGGTATTTAATGTGTTACTGATAAATGATGATGTAAATTAACATTGACCTCATAACATACTTCACGTTGAAATGCAGCTCTATCATAGCACTTCTGTGATGATTATATGTAAATTCAAATCCATCAAACATTTAACTTGATTTGAAAATATGCAACTTCGATCGAATTTTTTTTCTTAATTATTTGGATTGCAGAATGACAATTATTCCTTTTTATCCTGCCTTCTGTTTAATTCCATACCTTTCTGAAAGTGTCATTAGCAGTAAATAGTAATTCGTCCTGTATTTTGCATCATTTAAATTTTTTGCATATCAAATTTTGGATATTAAAGCAACCATCTCTTACATTAAATTAACAAATAATTTCAGGCAATGGTATTGGTAATAGTGGAACAATTTTATGCTATCTAAGAACTTTTTTTTTCTGTCTAAAAAATAATTAGGAAAAAGTTTGATATTTCAAGAAGCAAAAATATGAATGAATTAAGATTTATATTTATGAGAGAAATTTTATTCAATACAAATCTCTCAATTATAAGAAATCCAATCAACTGAGATGATCGATATCCATGTGTTCAGAATTCAGGAATGAAATTTGTTTTCATCTGATCTGCAACTACAAATACTGTGAAGATTTGTCAAATGTATTACTTATCTCGAATAGAAGAATAGTAAAGAGATCTTCAAATAGATTATTTGAAAGAATATTTAAGGAGATAAAGAACATTGGGAGATATATTGTGTATATTGTGGGCGCTATTGTTAAAGTTGAAATTAAAAAATGATTTCATATCGCCAATATTACTATCATTACAAGGCAATATGTGAATTTTGCAATTCTATTAACGATATTACATGTTTTTATTACTTTCATAATTAGCCTAAACATATAAACTGATGGCGAAATCGTGAAAATTAAACTATAGAGAAAAAATTACTAAAGAAATTTTATTTAACAGTTTAAAAATGCCAGTTGATACTTTATAAATACCAAAATACAAGTAATGTTTATTTGTTATTCATTATTTATTAAAATTAGAAATTCAAAAGAAATTTCCATCAACTGATAAAAGGAGAATTGTTTTTGCAATGTTATTCTTGACTGCGTGTGTAACTGATATTTTAAACTGATAGAATTAATAATAATCATTTCGTGATCATTTTCTTTTTGGATATTAGTAAACATATTAATAAAAGTTGTTTCATCTTTTGATAAAACTGTTATTATTTTATGCATTATAGTTTTCTAATTAAATTGAAGCATCGAAAAATTAGTTATTTTGCTTTTTTTTAAGTAAAAAATAAATGTATACAAATAACAATGACCTCGATATTTCATAATTCTCTAATCATAATTTAAAATGAATGCCTGTATTTAATTTTAAAATGACAAATACACTGATCAAAAATAAAAATTCAAGAAACAATCGATCTTTATATATGTCATTCGAATCGATAACAATGAATATTCTTCACATTTCAATGAAAAAAAATTTAACTCAAAAATTGCTAATCTAACTATTAAAAAAATTGATTTAAAAAATTTGAAGTTAATTTGAAAAGAAATCATCATTGCTATCATTTTATATATATAATCGAATATACCTAATATTACACATAAAATTTCATTAAAATTATATTACAAATTTTGCGTTTTTACATATACATTAATAAAAATAATATTTTTTATTCAACAATTTTTTCAAAAAAAAAAAAGAAAAAATTAATAAATATAAAATGATCAAATTCTCCTCATAAATTGTGGTTCATTATTACGCTTTAGAATTGCTTCCACACGTGCACGATTAGCTTCAAATGAAGAATGAACGGCTATATCATTCAAATTACTTCCATCATCACTGAACTCAGTCACAGGTAACGATGAATGATCAACAGATGATAAATTAGCCGATGGAATTTGATTATATCGTTCCAGCAAACGTCTGTAATTAAATTATTTAATGCAACCGCGTTAGGACGCAAATATATTTTAAAATTTTTTTCCGTTAATTTTTCAAAAATTTTACACTTTTTACAAAGAATATATTTATAACTAACTGTCTTTCTTGAATTCGATTAAACGTATTTTCTTTGCCACCACTTTCTAATTTTTGTCTCTGTCTGCAAAAAGTATTTGCGTAATTATCCATCATTTATCAATAATGATTAACTTATCTTTCGGATAATTCATTCTCATTCATTAATTAGTATAATTAATTCATCATTTCTCACTAATTTGATACTTATGTATAATTTATAATTTTCAATGAGTTCCAGAATCTCTTCTTTTTACTATTTGTCCATCCGACAGTTTAGCGTTCAATTTTTTTGATAACATTTAGTGCCTGACCTTTTATAGAAGATAATATTTGCAGCAGTCCAAATAATCGATGCTAAAGCGTATGCTGGAAGTATAACTCCAAGTATCCACAAGCATTTTTTGTGTATTTCATTTCTCTTCATCTAAATAATTTTCAAAATTTGGAGAAATTTATCAAAATAACTCGAATGAGAACTACCGTATCAGAAATATTTTCTGAAAGTTAATTTATATAGAATACGATAAATTATGCCCCATATAACAGATTTGCGATCAAAATTCAAAAATACATCTTATAAAATGATCACCTCGTTTTTATGCAACATATCGGTACGTTCTTTAATCATTTCCATTAATGAATTAAATTTCTCACCTCTGAGGTCAAAGTATTCTGGGATACGAAAATTTATCACACTACTGAAAATGATTAATTTTGATTGAAAAAATAGATCATTATGGTTATTTCATAGTAATAATAAAATTTGAAAATTATTGACAATTCATTCCATTTTTTATACTTTCCAGTTTAACCTTACCTGCCTAATTCGCTTTGAATTATCAGTGATTTTCGAAAACTTCAAACACTAACTGATATGAATTTAATAGCAGCGAAACATAGTAAATATGACCCATAAAGTCAATTTACTTTTGACCATAAAGCTCAAAAGTCATTTTTTGTTGAGACAAATTAAACTGTGCACCAAATGATTAGTAGCATTTTGTAAAATAAAAATGGAAAAATTATTCTTTCTGTAAATAATTCCAAATGTTTTCCTTTTGCTCGACTGCATATTTTGTTCATAAACGAATGATATTAATTAAGAAAGATTGTTCTTTTCACTGTTTTCATTATTATTCCAGTAGAGGACGAAATTTTGAAAATATGATAAAAATAAATTGTAACGATCGAACCTGAACTTCAGTATCTCTTTCAACGTATCATTGATAATAAATAATTCAGATTTTTTTTTTTGACCTTTTTTTTGTTTGTTCACTATTATTTTGCCTGTTGAAAAAAGACCAAAATTTTTGCTAAATCATAATAGTTAAAAAATGAATTCAAACTAAACAGACAATTAAGCTTCCTTTTTATTTAACAAAAAAATATAGCGATAATATAATTGCAATAGCAAATAATAATAGCGATAAAATAATAATTATAATCATACTTTTTATCATTCTTCATTCGTCGTTCCATTCGCATCAATTTTGTTGTGGTGCCATGAAGAATTTGCGGTAAACAAATTGCAGCAATTATGAAAAATAATCGTGTTGTATTTTTCATTGTACTTCAACCTTTTTTCAATAATCTCTCACTCTTTAAAAATAAAATTTAATTTATATTAGCTAAAAAAAAGGAGGAAAAAAAAAAAACTAAATGACGCATACAAATAAAAATGAATGAACAGAAAGCAAATTTTGTTAGTTCATTTGCTGATTGAAAATTTTTTCTCCACAAGTCTTTTATTATGTTTAGTCCACCAAAACTAGTTTTTCCTTGCTTGCGAATTTAAATCAATAATTGATCTTTAAAATTTACTATAATTTTTTTATTTCATTTTTACTGAATAAAATCTTTTATCTTCGATTATTTCGCCCATTCAATTAAAACTTTATTTTCGTGCATAGTATTTTTTGATATCTTTTATTATTAATAATATTGCTTAGTGAAATTTTCTTTTTTGTAAATGAAATTTTTATATTTGAAATGAAAACATAATTTTTGTACGATTAAAATAATTTTAATTATTTAATGCTTTTATTTTCAAATTTTGTAGAGAAAAATAGAATACGAGTTGCTATTTCTTGAAGTTTATATATGTCACGATAATTTCAAAGCCATATTATTCAGTGTGCAATTAAAAATAAATCTATTACTAAATTTAAATAAAAATGTATATAATAGTTATTAGATTACTCCTCAGTTACTAGTTATTTTATCATGTGAAAAATTATTAAAAAATAATTACACAGTTATTAAACAGAAAGTAATTGAAATATTGATAATACATTTATTACAACCGACTTATTTACCGTTCCAAAAAATTTTATTGCACCATAAAAAGAAAAAAATTTGCACAAAATATATTCTCGTATGAAATGATGAAAAAGACAGACAGGTGCGATTATAAGAACTGACGAAAGCATAATTGAAAAACCAAAATATAATTAGAAATTCTAACCTTGAGAGAATAAATTTCCGGTATATAAAATATACGCTTTCTTTCGCATTTTTTTTTCACTTTCAAAAATTTTTTAATTAAATTTAAAAAAAATTTGTAATGAAATATCGAAAAGTTTTTAACATGGTTGTCATCAATCAATTTGATGTGATCGTATTCAATTCGAGCAATTATTGTCAAATTTTGATCATTTTATTCACAAATTAAAAATTAAAATGATTGTAAAAAAGGATGGATGCTGCGAATTGATTCTCGCGTTTACCTACAGAGAATTGCTCAAATGAATACCATTCTTGTTTGAAGTAATATTAATGATATGGATAAAATTGATCGGGAAAAAAATCAATCAATCGCTTGCTCCTATTTCAAATGATACAAAACTTGTTGGATAAAAATGTACTTGAACTTTGATCAGAAAAAAAAAGTCTCATGATCTTAATTATCAGCAAGTAATTAACTTATCAAAATTATCAGTAATATGATTCATAAATTCTGTCTATTTTTTTTTTTAAAACTCTCTTTAAAATTCAAAATTTGTTTTATTCAATTTTTGATGTCTAACCATTCATCCTTAGAATAACGGATCAAATCAAATTTTTACTAAGTAACAAAATTGTTCAAAATTTTATAAAATTTAATTTGAAAAAAAAAATGCAAAAAATTCGAAAGAATTGAGTAATATTTGAGAGCATATTCATACTGAAAATCAATTTTCTTTCATTTGTTCTTACCGACTTGCGCACAATTCTCATAAATTCTAATGGTGCACTTTTAGAGCGGTGTTCCATTATTTTTTGATACATAAATAAATGCGCATAGCTCTTTTCTCCAACCGGATTGGAGGACAAATTTATAGATGGAACAAAAAAACATTTCTCATTTTTAAGAAAAAAAAAATTAAAGAAAGAAAGAGATAACAATAAAAAAAAAAGCGTTCGCATTTTTAAATTTCTAAAATAAAACTCACTATTTTGTTATTGCTAATAAAAAATTTCAAGACTAATATGTTACAACATTCTAGATTAGATTAATTTCAAAATTTTTTCCTCAGAAAAACTTATCTTTTTCAAAGACTATTACTCATGTGTTTTAATTTTACTTAAAATGTTATAGAATAATGCTAAAATTTATTCCTTTCCTTGTGAACTGAGGAGGAAAGAATAAAAGAATTAACTAACTTTAAAAAAAAATGATTATAAAAATGAAATGATGCAAATGGAAAAGTTATATATCTTTTTAATAAATTATTACCGCTAATTTCATTTATACTTCTAAGTCTTATCTTTAGTTTTTACTTCATCATAAATATAATTATTATATTAAAATGTCTCTTATTTGTCATGAATTATTATTATCATCACTTATAAAAGATCAGCTAATAATTTTTTCTAAAAATTTTACTCAATTAACCAAAAAAATGAGAAAAAAGAAAAAATTCAATACAGAATTACAATACATTTCTATCGATCGACAAAACAAAAACATATTAATTTTTAGTTTTTTTTTTCTCAAATTTTTTTATCATCAGTTTTTGAAATGTTGAAAATCAAATATGGAATGAGACAGTTTTCATTGCTTGTAAAAATTTTTCAACTCCTAGCAATGATTGACAAATAAAAGAGGCGACATTGATATTTTGTAAAACGGCATTTTGATGAAGGAAAATATTTGATTGAACAAAAGAACAAAAAAGTTTTTCTCACCGATTTATGAAAAATGCTGTGCGCCAACTGTTTATATTTATTTAAATG